AGTTGTTTAAATACATATATACTTCCCCACTTATTTGTAGTACAGGATTCAGCCCTAATGCCAAGCTCTTTTCCCTGCCACTGCTGAGAGGGTCAACTTTCTTCACTGCTTAAAAATTAAGGTGCACCAAAACCAAGTGATGTAGAATCGGTTAACCGGGCCAGTTGAGGCAACCTTTCATACAAAAGGAAAATGAAATGCCAGAACCAGATTTCAGGCTGCTGCCAGAGTGGCTAAAGAGATGTGTGAGAGACCATAAAGCTGTGATGGCAATTGTGGTGACCAGTACACTCAACATTCCCTGGAGTACCACTTCCCAGGCCATCAGTGAGGATGCTCTCCAGTGCAGGAGATGCTTGCATCATGTACCCATCCTCACTGGGACACACCTGCTCGCAGCAAGGATGGGGAGGAATCCTCAGGAAATCAGGCCCCGAGCAATAAAAGGCTGACAAGACAAACAAGCGCAAATCAGCCGAGGTAGGGCAAAAAAAGTTCAGCGGCAAAACTCGTACCAAGAACTCAAAATTAGAGAAGGAGACTCAGTTGTCAGTACATAGCAACAAGGCTCAGAGAAGAGAGAAAGAACAAGCTGCACTAAAAGGCTTAAGCTATCTAAAATTTTTTGAGGGCCTGTGATTCACTTGGATACCTGAAACTGAAGCAGGGAATGCCTTCAACCAGGGAGAGTTCACAATAGGACTCAGTGGTTAAACTTCGTTTACGTTTTGCTTTTTTTTAAAAAAAAACAGAGTGTCTACATTATTGCTACCTGACACTACTCAAAAGGCACAGCATGCTGCAACGTAGGCTGCAGAGCAAGCAGAGAAACAGGCAATGCAGATCAGAGAGAGAAAGTAAGGTTTAAAAACAAATTTAAAAAGAACTTTTTGAGAGGATTTTTTTTTTTTTTGCCTTGGCCATGGCACACAAACAGTGGGATCTACACAACAGATTGGTTTTTCGCTGCTGGCTGTCCCAATTCATCCTCTCCTGCACCAGCTCTGGTGTTTTTGTGACTCTGGGCTGAACTGCTTCTGTGTTAAGTCAGCAGAAAAGTAAGCCAACAAAAAGGGCAATAGGTTTCTGCCAGGATGTCATGCAAAAACAGTCGAGCAAAGACTGAGAAAGGAGACAGACTGAGCTGCTCTGGCAATGAAGGCTCCGTATGATTAACTAGTGCATCCACAGTAGCTTTACTGGCACTTTAGACCTCCAAATGTGACTATAATATTATAAATATTTATTTCAGCAAAAGCACCATCTTATGTGACATTATCTCATCTTCCCCCATCACTCAAAACTGTTTGCCCAAACTGTCTAGCAAGGAGGAAGGAAAGAGATTTTTTTTGTTGTGGTTGTTTTCAGTCAAGACCAACTCTCCAGTTTAGCTTATCATGTGGACAAGCTGTGAACAGGTGTGCTGGTGAAAGAGATGGGTTGTGCAGGACTGTAAACAAGCAGCTGGAGAAAGGAAGGTGCTTAAACCAGGACAGAAAATTTTAAAAGTCTGTGTTTGTAAAACTGTGTTGCAAATTCAAGCCATGATACTCTCCTTAATAATCTACAAACTTAGCAGGAGATTCAGCTCTAAAATATCTATGGTAAAATTTAAAAAAAAAAAAATATTAAAAATAGATATAAATACCAAATATATAAACCAATAAATACAGAGATTATATATATGATTTATATATCATCATCCTATCTCATGGTGAGTGAGATAACACATATACATTAAGATATTTATTCTACTATACAGGAAATTATTTGCAGACTATGTCATATCTTATGTTCCTGCTTTGGATGCAGTTGCATAAGTCTGAGAGCCAGTCTCTTCGCCTGTGCTCCCTAAAATGCCTCTCCCAGCCACATGGTTCTGCCAGATACCTTATGCTATTTCTAGCACCTCTTGGGTTCTTTTATGAGCTTATGCAACTAACCTACATGGCAGAATGTGAACTCTAATTGCTCATACAAGATTTAATGAGTGTCAGATCCAATGCACGAGAACAGTGACGAGGGAAATGTGGAACGGTGAAAATTTTTACTTTTAGCAAAAGTGAAGTAACTAAACTTGCTCAAGTAGTTATCCAACTCCAGCATAGCTGGCCTGCACTCTGTCTATATGAATTAACTGCAGGATCAGCTTTCCCATCCAGTTTCAACGGCCATACAGGGTTCAGGTAAACTTCACACTAAGCAGGAAAGCAGTGGCGTTTCTTGCTGACTGCTTTGCTGCACAGAATTCATAAGGCACTGGGCTCTCTGTATCGATGGGACCTTCAACGTGGGCTGGCACACACTTTGTGGCTGTCATTTTAGACTACAGTTTTGTAGGGTAGAATAAGACAGTATTTCATAAACCAGTGAGTTCTACATGTGGTCTCTGCCCACATGCTCTAACCAGTTACCAGAATAAATGTATTTTTTTGAACCACAAAGCTTACAGTAATTACAACCATTAGAACAAACATTTACACTTGTGACTACCTGCAAAGTTTATTTAGGTAGGCCACTCTAGGAACTATTGCTTTTAATAATCTAACAAGGATCTACAAATCATGTTGAAGTTCCTTCCTCCACAGAGCAAAGGCAATCTTGTTGTGAAGTCAGTTTCACAGGGATTTGTGTGCCGTAGAACAAAATCTGAACAAGAGCCTTTAGCTGGCAAATGCACAAAGGTTTTCCTCTATTGAATCTACTCTGCTTTGTCTCCCAACAGAGAAACTCGGGCCAAAGACAAATAAAGCAGAAAAGAGTGTTAAAGACAAACAGGTGGGTAAGACCAAAGAAAAGCAAGAAATGCAAGGATATGTTCTTAGTGCCTGAGGGACACGCTGAATGGAAGGGAATCCAAATGCAAGGTGATATTTTGGGCTCCAAAACCTGTATCAAGACTCAAGACTGTTGCCAACATTCAGTTGATACAAAACAGACTTCTCACTTGAAAAGATTGCTCACTGCGGAAAAAAAGTCACTTCACCAGGCTTATGAAAACGTTAGTTACTCTAAATGCTTATAGGCCTCATTCCATAGAACCATGGAACAACAAACATGGCTTAGTGAAATATCAATTTGATTACCATTAAATAAATGTATTCAGAATGCAAAATGTTCTTCTTTGAAAAGATGTTTGATCATATTCGAGCAAAACAGACAGACCCTTTAGCTGTATAACAGTGACACTGTAAAAAACAACCCTTTCCCTTGACATGATCATGCATTCAAAAAGGAAATGCAAACACGTAACACGTGCCCAGACTACCTTGAAAACGTCGTGTTTCATCACCTTAACAGTAATGATCTATTTTCTTACACAGGTCAGCATTGTCTGAGCTACTCCAACCTCAGTAGAAGAAGTGAGAGCAGAATACTGAATCAAACTTCTCCCAAGAACACTCTTTGCTAAAAAAAATATTACATGCAGATATGCAACAATCTTTGCAAATTATACTGAATCAGAAGGACAGAGGTTAGCAAAAACTGACTCTAAGAACTAATTTTGTTAAAAATATCCTAACAAGGATTTAAAAATCCATTAAAAAAACCCCAAGGATTTAAAAAAAAATTCAAGGCACAGAATGCTTAGGGAGATCAGAAACTTGAGTAAACAAGTAAAATAGAAAATGGAAAATCAACAAGTACTGTTTGAAAGGAAGAAAGTCTTCAAGAGAATCGAATACACATAAATAAAATTTTTACTTTTACAGCTATTTTGTTGTTATTCAGAAAATACCAAAGTTACATATTTCTTTGGGTTTTTTTCAAAGTCAATATGATCTACTACAGGTTTCAATCCTTTATTTCTACTTTGTTTCACTTTATTTTTATTACTTTTTAATATTTCTTTCTATGTTTTTGTTCAGTAATCAGTAATCAGTAACTTCTTATAAGAAACCTTTCTACTCTCGATCTGTAAATACATTGATTGATTTGTATCATAACAAAAAGTATATACTTTCTATAACAATGCAAACAACTCATCTTTTCTATGATTACCAGTGAATTTAAATAGAACATATCTTCTGTTTAAAAAACTTACTTTCAAGTTATTTGGTATGTCATTTATGGCAACATGAAGGTATGACATAAGCATATGTTTCTCTACTAATTTTAGTGTGCTAGCATTAGAAACCTCATGTTTCATATTAAACCACCTCTTCAAGAGCACTGTTCCACAGATACCTGAACTCCAACGTTAGGACTAATGGAAGCCAATCTGCATGATCAGGACGCAGGAGAAAATGGTTACAGCAGTGCAAAGTCATTACCACTGCAAAGCAGCAACACTTCTTTTATTTTATTAATTCTAAGGTTTAAACACACATAACAATTTTTAAAGAAGCTAGTTCATCAGTCAGCCACAAGTTGTTTTTTTTTTGCCTGCAACAGTAAGTTCTGTATGTCTATTGTTGCTTGTGTAGGCTGAATTCCTAATATAAAAAGAATCTGCCCAGTCAAATGCTTTTATGGAAAGTTAAGGGCCTCATGACAAGGTTTGACAATGCAGCTGGACCAACCTAATGGCTCACAGCCATCAAAATGAGGCAGTATTACTCTTTCTTCAACCACCTTGCCTCCACTGTTCCTCTGCACTGGTTCAGGGTCATCTGACCTCTTATTTGGCTGAGTCTGCTAAAGTGGCAGAGAAATAATTCAGCAGGAAAAGAGAATGGTTTCTGTTGGTTATCAAGCGAGGTCAGATGGATACGAGTACAATGAACAACAGGACAACTCTTTCAATATGATCCAGACATTTGACTGGTTCAGCCGCCTTGATGAGTCTCAAACATGGTGATAGGATAACTTGAGACAAAGGGCAGGTTAAGAGAAGAAGTGCTTTTGGCTTTTTACGCATTCATTTTAAGACTATTTTATGCTGATATTAATTACAAAGTAGAATTCTTACCTTTCATTGCTAATTTTTCCATTCACTTACATCCCTGTTTGCCAATTTATCAACAAATCATAACATAATAAACCGAATAGTGACTTACCTACAAATCCTTTCTCTCCAACTAATTTAAGGGCAATTTTATCTGCCAAAACAGAAGAATTTCCATGTGCAATGTTAGCAAAAGGTCCAGCGTGAACAAATACTGGTGTTCCCTGAATAATAAAAAATATATTCATTAATTCAGTGAATAGATGCCATGGTTTAATCTCAGTCAGCAACTAAGCCAGCAACAAAACCCCAATACATATTACTCACTTTTCCACCGGTGGGATGGGGGACTGAATCGGAAGGGCAAAAGCTGAGAAAACTCATGGATTGAGATAAAGACAGTTTAATAGGTAAAGAAAAAGCTGCACACTCAAGCAAAGCAAAACAAGGAATTAATTCACTACTTCCCACAGGCAGGCAGGTGTTCAGTCATCCCCAGGAAAGCAGGGCTCCATCATGTGTAACAGTTACTTGGGAAGACAAATGCCATCACTCTAAATGTCCCTCCCTTCCTCCTTCTTCCCACAGTTCTATATGCTGAGCATGATGCCATATAGCACGGGATATCCTTTTAGTCAGTTGGAGTCAGCTGTCCTGTCTGGGTCCCCTCCCAACATCTTGTGCACCCTCAGCCTCCTTGCTGGTGGGATGGGGTGGGGTGAGAGGCAGAAAAGGCCTTGACTCTGTGTAAGCCCAGCTCAGCAATAATGAAAACATCCCTGTGTCACCAACACTGTCTCCAGCACAAATCCAGAACGCAGTCCCATACCAGGTAATATGAAGAAAATTAAACCTATCCCAGCCCAAACCAGCACATTAGGTAAGAACCTCAATAGTTCTGCAGACTAATCAACATGATATCTAAATCAAAGCACATACAGCACGGAAGTGCTGTTAGACAATTTAGGTGTTCTAGATACATCTCAGGTGCTTCAGACCTCCTTCACTGATGGACCTAGTTGTCAGAACCTGCTTCATTCATAGAAAGGTAACAGACAGCAGCACAACCTGTAGGTAACTTGCACACCTTCTCCACCCAACCTTGTACTAACACTTAAGTTTTATTTCTACTATAATCCAGTATTTATGCTTCGGCATTCAAATAAATAAGACTGCAATTTTCAGCTACCAGATTCAAATCCATATGATTTATTCCAATTTATCTTTTATTAGTCACTAAATTTAATTTTAGTCTTCCAAGTCATAATTTCTTGTGGCATGCAATCACAGGGCTGGTCTTGTTAGAGCCCAAAACACACATGGGCAGATGCGATGCATGGAAGCACAACTACAACCAGTGAGAGGGCAGCCGAGCCCATACTGTGGCAGCTATGCAAAGAGAGGTGTCAGAAGAGTCTCCCACAGCATTCCCTGTGCAATTGTGTTTCCAAGAGTTCATCCACACAACATGAATATGGAGGAAATTTAGACTGTAGGATCCACTGGTAGTCAAGAGGCCCCCTGCCACTAACTTGAAATCCAAACACACTACTAAATCACTGGCATGGACAGATGCTCCCCTGGATCTCTGAAATCCAGCAGAAGAAAAGGAGGACCTATTGGAATGTTTTTTTTTTAACAAAAGCAATCCTGGCAGAAAAGTAAAGTCTGGGTACCGAAGGGAGTGAACTCCAGCAGGACCTTGGGAGCCTCAGGCATACCCTGGAACAGAGACAACAGTGTCTTCTCAGGCCAGCTTTAGTGACTGTCAGTCCATCTGTCCTACTCTGCAGAGTGCCACTTAGTTTTGCTACACTCTTAATAAACTATATGGAGAAACAAACAGTGGCACAGGGATGCATTCTGCTGACTGTTCCCAGTACAGAAAATGTTATAATCCAAGTTTCAGTAAAAGAAAATAAACCTAGAATGTCAATAAATATCTGAAGTTATGTGGCCGTTAGAAGGATGTTTATAATACTTATTACCATCCTTCTCTCATCTTTACTGTGAGTGGCACTTCAAACGTAATACAACAAACCATCCCAGAGCAGCCAGCCTGCAACTACAAAGAGCTGTCCCATAGAGCAGCTGCTCTGTTACACATGGTATAAATAAATGCTAAACATTAAGGGATCAGTTGATGAGAGAACAAATCTGTCATGGGAAACATGGATAAACACTATGAAATCACGATGTACATTCCAAACAAAGTAATCGCAATTCTGCAGCACTGGATATAAATTCTACTGAAGTCTGTAGTTATTGTAGGTGGAGTTTCCCACATCTCTCATTTTGATATTTCACTGTCATTCCTGCGTAAAAAACACTGTCAATCACTAATATTTTCAGGTGGCATTTCTGGTGACAGAGTAGCAGGGTTGTGACGGAAAGCAACCCACCAAGAAATCTCTTTAAAAACCAGCAGATTAAAACACACATCAATCCACATATGAAAAAAAGCACAGACACAAGCTGCCAGTTCAGTTCCATGCAGTACTGGCAGCTGGTAATTTTTGATTTAGGGCCTTCTGAACCTCTTTTCCAGTGCATGCAGACATACGTGCAAAGCTGGTGCAAATCTACTGAGTATGTTATTCTTCTCCCCTTTCACAGGCCCTTAGAAGCAACTCCTTAGACTTCCACAGCTTTACACAATTCCCTTCTACAGGCTCATGGCCAGATAACAGAGGAGTGCATCTATCTCTGCAATGGCTACTTCCAGGTGCAGCTACCCACAGACACTATGACTTACAAATTATGCTATATCAAGTGTCAGTATCAGCTGGAAGTCATCCAGAAGATACCTTGTCTGGTAGTTTTTTTGCCATTCTCCAAAACCAAAGTGATCTGAAAGACCTGCTTTGGTGAACAGTTTCACCCTACTTGCAGGACAGGTCCACAGAGCATTCTGAGCTGCACTGGTGTTCTCTGCCTTGTCCTTACAGGGGACTTAAACTTGCCAGAAATCAGCTGGGAGCATCATATAGCTGGTACAACCTGGGCCAGAAGATTCCTAAAAGCCTAGACAACAACTTAATGGAACAGGTCCTAAGGGAGCTGATTCAGAAAGACGCCCTCCTTGATCCACTGTTTGTCAACAGAGTGGATCTTGTAAGCGCAGTGGAGATTGGTGGCTGTCTTGGCCACAGCCAACTTGATCACCACAAAGTGATCAAGTTTAAAATCTCTGTTGACAGGAGGAAAAATATCAGCAAAACCTCAACTCTAGACATGAGGAGAGCAGACTTCAGGCTGCTCAAGGAATTAGTAAGTAAGGTCACCTGGGAAAATGTTTTTGCAGGTACTGGGGTCCATCAGTGCTGGTCACTTTTCAAACATCACCTCTTAAGGGCATAAGAGCAACAATTTCCAAATGCTGTAAGTCAAGCAGGCAAGGCAGGAGGGCAGCTTGGCTAAGCAGGGATCTTCTCTTGGAAATTAGGCAAAAAAGGAAGGTGTATGCCTATTGGGAGAAAGGTCAAGTGACATGGGAAGAGTTCAGAGATGTTGCTTGCTGCTATAGTGAGAAAATTTGTGTGCCCAAAGCTCAGCTGGAGATGAAGCTGGACAGAAATGTGGGTGACACATAAAAAGAATTTTTTCAAATATATTAATGGCAATAGGCAGTATAGAAATATCACTGGCTATTGCAGGGTGAGGATGGTCACCTCACAAACAGGGACAGAGACAAGGCAGAGGTGTTTAACACTTTCTTTGCCTCTGTCTTCAACATGGATGATGGACCAACTGGGTCTCAGTGCCCTAAACTGGAGAACCATGACTGTGAGAATGATCCCTGTCAGTCTTGAAATTGTGCAGGATCTGTTGCTCCACCTGGATCCCTACAAATCTATGGGGCTTGATGGGATTCATCCACAAATCCTCAAAGAGCTGGTTCATGTAATTGCAAAACCTCTCTCAATGATTTTTGAGCAGTCTTGGGAATCCTGAGAGGTCTCAGAGGACTGGAAGCTACCAAATGTCCCAATTTTCAAGAAGGGCAAGAAAAAGGATCTCAGAAACTACAGGCCTGACAGTTTCATGCCAGTGCCTGGTAAAGTCAGGGAGAAGATTATTCTGGGAAGTATTGAAAAACACCTGAAATGCAACACAGTCATTGGTCACAGCCAGCACAGCTTCATGAGAGGAAAGTCCTGCTTATCCAACCTGATTTTCTCCTATGACAAGGTAACCCACCTAGTTGATCAAGGGAAGCCAGTTGATGTCATCTTTTTGGATTCCAGTAAAGCTTTCAATACCGTCTCTCATAGGATCCTTCTGGACAAAATGTCCAGCACACAGCTGGATAAACACATCACGTGGTGGGTAAGCAATCGGCTCACTGGTTGAGCACAGAGAGTAACAGTGAATGGGGGAACATCAGACTGGTGATCTGTCACTAGTGGGGTTCCACAGGGCTCCATCTTAGGTCCTGTGCTTTTCAAAAACTTCATAAATTACTTGGATGCAGGATTGGAAGGGATACTAAGCAAGTTTGCAGATGACACAAAACTGAGGAGCTGTTGACTCCCTCAAAGGCAGGAAGGCCCTGCAGAGAGACCTCGACAAATTAGAGGGCTGGGCAATCACCAACCACATGAGGTTCAGCAAGGGGTAGTATCAGATTCTGCATCTGGGATGGGACTACCCTGAATGTATGTATAGACTGGGGAATGAGATGCTAGAAAGCAGCCCAACAGAAAGGGACCTGAGGGTCCTGGTCACTGGCAAGTTGAATATGAGTCAGCAGTGCCCTGGCAGCCAGGAGGACCAACTGTGTCCTGGGGGGCATCAGGTAAAACATCACCAGCCAGTCAAGGGAGGGGATTGTCTCGTTCTGCTCTGCACTGGGGCAGCCTCACCTTGAATATTGTGCATAGTTTTGGGCACCACAACATAAGAAAGATATTGAGCTATTAGAGAGTGTCCAAAGGAGGGCAACAAAGATGGTGAAGGCTTCCCTTGAGGGGAAGCTGTGTGAGGAGCGGTTGAGGTCACTTGGTCTGTTCAGCCTGGAGGAGACTGGAGACAGACCTCAGTGCAGAGCGCAACTTCCTTGTGAGGAGAAGATGGGGGGAAGGCACTGATCTCTTCTCTGTGGTGACAGAACCCAAAAGAATGGCCTGAAACTGTGTCAGGGGAGGTTTAGGTTTGATATTAGGAAGGTTCTTCACCCAGAGGGTGGTTGGGCACTAGAACAGGCTCCTCAGGGAAATGGTCACAGCACCAAGCCTTCCAGAAATCAAGAAGCATTTGGATGATACTCTCAGGCACATGGTGTGACTCTTGGGGCTGTCCTGCGCAGGTCCAGGAGCTGGACTCGATGATCCTTGTGGTCCCTTCTGACTTGGCATATTCTGTGATTTTTCTGTTTTTCCACTAGCTATGTGCTGTAGGATCATTTCTGATATTACTGCTGTCAAATCACAGTGTTGTTGCTAAAGGCCTTTATACTTGTATGGAGAACTTGTTCTCCCTGAAGGGATTCAGATTATGTTGTCTAATTACTATTGGTAGCCTCTTTGAAAATTTAGGATACTAACTTTTGGATGCTACTTACAAGTATTATTTCAAGTGTAATGTAGGCTTAAGTTCTCCTCATTTCTGGTTTGTGAGAAGAAAGACTTGCAATTCACACACTCATCAGAAAGATGTCATTACCTATAGCAGAAGAGACATTATTACATCTGCCACCTCAGGGTACGTGATTAGTCTGGTTTAAAATCTATCACGCTGGAGGACTCTAAACACACAAGTGGATCACTACAGAACATTCAAGTGTGCAGTGTACAGTATCCTCCTTGTTCCCTTACTTTTTTTATTTTGTTTAACTAAAGCTATTACAATTAGCACCTCTCAAAGCTATTCCGATGAATAATCGTCTTTAAGACTCACACTGAAGGACTGGAGCATGAAGCAGTCTTCTGAGCTGCTTTAGATTGCTGTTTTAAAAATAACTTTATGAGAGAGTTAGGGGGAAAAATATATCTTTGGGTACTGTGGTCAGGGCCCTGCTAACAAGCAATAGCGTTTGATGAAAGTTGGCAGATGTTTCAGCCATAGCATAGATTAGACTAGAAAAGAATACCACATAAAAGGCAGGAATTTTATTGCATAGAAATGTGAATATAAAGAAATGCAGTGAAAAAATAAATGTATGCAAGTCCCAGAACCAAATACCTATCGATCAAAAGAAACCCTTCTGACATTTATAATTGTCCTTTAGAACACCGCAACAAAACCATATTATTTTTTAGCAGATATGCAAAGTGCAAATAGAGTGACACAGACTAAACAGTCAGAATCAAAGCTACATTGTCAGAGACGCTTATCACACACAGTGTTACTCAAGTGGTGATTTAATACACAGTTCTGGCTATGACATTCTTGATCCTACATGACCTCCAGTTTCTGCTATTGGATGTTATATTAAATTCTGACACACACATATGTTCTTCATACAGCCACGTGAAAGAACAAATCTTCTTTGCGGGAGAAAATAATTGAGATGGCTATAATAAAATAATATAGATTTAAATTCTATTTTACTAATCTTCCCCGAGACTAGGAAGTTGACCCCATCTAAACACAAAAACAAAAAGGTAGTTATCACATTGTCACGTTTTAGAAAATGAGATATTTTTGCCAACCAGAATTGAACTCATGTATTTCTACATTCTTCAACTTTTCACCATATCAGGAATGTTCCAGCTATGTAATTTTGATGGTCAAACTTTCAAAAATACACACTAATTTTTCTCCAAGTGCATTTGTTTTCAAACCTGCTTTATTATTTCCTCATTTTTCTTTTTCTCCCTCTACCCTTAAATGTTGCTCATCATTTGGCTTCCCATTGAAAAGGCAATACTAGACTGCCCAGACACAAAATTAGGTTGTATTAATTCTGCATTCTTTAAGCTGTTGGAAGACAGCTCACTAGGGTAAGTGTAAACCATTCCTGGCATAGCCCAGCAAAGCTTCATTTAGTCCCTGAAGGTACTATGGCAAGATTAGGTGGCTGGGAGCCATCTTTTGAAGCATAAACTGATAAAAGCACCCTCCTGTGTTTATGAATGGCACAAACTGTGATACAGACTAGAATGGCCACTGCAAAGCATCTGCTTTCCACACAAGATGCTGGGCTGTGGGAATCATCACGGGAACAACCATATAAAAGAAATACATAAAAAGTAAACTTCTCCATAAGAGCAAGGTGGGAAACAGTAGTAAGTCTATGACTCAGATGACCAACCTGCCTTCCAGCGGGCTCAAAAGCAGTTCAACAGTGCACTGCAGTTTGCTTGCAGCACTAGGTGAAATTATGGTTATAGCCAGAAAACCACCACACAGGTATAAATGCAGGTAGAGTTGATTAGTTAACATAAACAAATGAACATTTGCTAGAATGCCTTTATGGATCTGACCCTGGCTTGAACCTTGAAAGTTAAGCACAGTCGCTGAGGAGAAGCACAATCAGCACAATATGGAATCTGAAAGTTGGAGCAGGGCAGGCATCATAAGCCATACTCACCTCTAATGTCTGCATTAGCGTGGGCTTAATTGCATCTTTCATCAAAACTGCTAAAGCACCTGTTACTCCCTAAAAAACAAAAGAGTGAATATTTTAAGGAGGTCAATTCTAAGGTGCAACATTTTCAAGCTACACTTAAGCTTACAGTTGAAAAAACCTTACAGTTCAAGGGAAAAAGTGTGCTCAGAAACCATAAAGGATAAGCACTGTTACAGTGCTGCATAAAGAATTTATTTAGATATTACCTCAAGATTTCTAATATACTGTATTTACCGAGCGCGTCAGAAGCAACCTTAAAAGACAGCAGGTAATTATTTGTCCTATTTCATGGAGAGACCAGATATTAAGTGACCAGCAGGAGGATGCTCTAGGTAGCAAAAGATGAAGTGGAAGCAAAAAACTGTCTAAAGAAATGACAGATGTAAGTCTTTCATGACAGAATCAATAGCATGAATCAATAGCGACCAACAACCAGAAAGGATATTTTTCAAGACTCGTACAAATATATACATAACAGACACAGAACAAAAGATGAGTTTACTAGGGGTAGATAATGAATACATCATAAGTTAGAGGTGCCTGAGTGTCATGATAAGAGCACAAAAGGAGCTGAGTGAATTGCTGCATTTTGGTTGCAAGAAATCTTACTCCTCCCTAAAAATTTTGTTGGAAGTATAAATTTCACACTGACTGACTTTAAAATCAATAAAACTCATGACATCCCTCTACCAAAACTCAATCCCAATTTTAGAAAAAAAAAAGACAAAAAAAGGGCTACAGCGTGTGCACATCACTATCAAGACTATATGTGGAGTCCTGCCTAGAAACCACCAGCATATGTTCAAATTTCTTTCTAAATTACTTTGATTTTGAGATGATGTGTTTTGTTTTGAAAGAACTAGATCATGGTTCAAAGAAACCACAGTAATGTTATAAAGAGTGGCTCACAGATTTGCCAGAGAACACAAAAAATGAATTTAGTATTTTTTTGTATTGAAAAGAAACATTAAAACCAAACAAAAATCCTAGCTGCCGTAAATTGTTTAAAATGAAAGTTGAAAAACATGGGTACATTATCTGAGTAGCCTATTAAAGCATGAACAAAAATATTCAAATAAAGAAGAAAACATAGTGCCTGTATAATTCTCAACACAGTTTCTACCAACTAATCCAAAATTTGAACAATCAAAGTCTGTGTGAAAATTTTGATATCAAACAGGTAAGAGACATGGTGATTATATAAGTACAGTATCGTATAAAATTAAATTTTCCTCTCTTTGAGCATCACATCTGAGCATGGACTTCAGAGGAAAATGAAGCAGAATATTTGGCCTTGGATATAATTGCATTGAAACTTAAGTAGTAGAACTGGTTTCTGCTAAAGCATAGCAAGTGTTTCCTTGGAGGGCAGTGAAGGAGAGAGAGAAGGGAAAGATTTTTCTTCTCTCTCTGCATCTCCCTCTATTTCAAAACCCAACAGATCCACAAAGACATAATATGAGAAACTGGCAGCAAAACAACATAGTTTTTCATCTTTTTAATTAGCAAAAAACTAGACTGCTGTTTCTTAATATGTTAATTTTAGAAGCTAGGATTAAAACACAAGGAAACAAGCATGCCAGCTCTGTCAGAATGCGTGAGGCTCCATCACTTCTACAGAAGCAGCCTGGTACTATGCTGCTCATATACCCAAATACTTTTATTTCTGAAGAAGAAAAAAGCCAAATGGAAGACTTTACATCAGATATTCCAACTGGTCGACAGCAAGGATAACTACCTGAGCAGCACAGGTCTGCTCTAAATGACAAGTGTTAATTCATGCCAGCTGTAGCCACCAGACTTCTCAAAGTAACCATGCAAACATCTATCAGCTGATCTGAGACACAGTGACTGGAAAGAAGACTTAGGGGATGGGGAAGTAAAAAATAAAACAAAACCAGGACACTTCTCCCCCAGTCTCCTCTCCTGCCCCTTCTACATAATGAAGGTTCACATCCTGTCTCCTTTGCTTTCTGATAGTTCTTCACCAATCTGATGAAAATAATGAAGTAATCCAAATGCTTCCTCTGCATTTTAACTTCTTGGGAGATATTAGCTATGCATTATTTGGGAAATATTAGATATGCATTCTGGACACAACAACTTATTCTATCTGAAGCTGAAAGCAAAGAAAAAAGATGTAAATACTCCAATTGGCACATCTCATGTCTATCTGTCATCTGTGGTTCTTGAACAGGCTTGGTGTCAACAGCAGTCCTTAAATGCTAAACAAATAAAGTTTTCCTACCTATCTGACATGACTCTGTGAGAATAAAGTTTTCGTTTCTTCATGTCCTCAATCCTCCAAATATCTAGTAACAATTCCTACAGCTCACTCCAAGTCTTGGATCTGATTCTCAAAGCTATTTAAGGAACCCAGTTCCCATTTCCAATTCAGAAAAGGTAGATAAATGTTTTATAAAAGAATAAGAGACTTAGAGACTTACAAACCAATTAAGCATGTGAGAGCTCAGGGATCACTAGCTTTCCACTAATTCACTATCAGAAGAAACAAGTGGGGCTCCGAATCAAATGTATACAGATACCTAACTCTTCTGGGTTTCCTCCTGGAACTGGTCCCAAGTACTTCTGAAAATAATACTCCTTCCATCTATCCACCAGCCATCGGGGCAGGTATGCCCCACAGGACAGCAAAGATCATAGAACACAAAATAAATTATACACATGACACAGGAAACGCAAACTTAGATGAAAAAACAAAATACTTTTAAAGAAACTTCCAGTGGAGCAGTCTCTGAAGTCTGTCAAGAGTGGAAATGAAAGCCAGCAGTAGATGACAAGGAAGGCGATTGAAAGCAACTACTGTGACTGAAGTTACACACACCGAAGGGTAGAGAAAACCCCTTCTCTTTATAAGAAAAATAATGAAGTACCTGTAACTTACCTTCATTTGAAACTATAGTGTCTAACAAAATAATATTTTTTGCAATTTCAGTTCTGTAAAGAACTAAACCTTATCTAAGAAGAACTGCAACTCCTTTTATTTGCAATGAACTACGTACACAATGTTTCTGATGAAACAGAGAATAAAATCTCTCCAGCTGACAGTTCATTTATAAAAGTAAATACAGAGCTGGTTTTTTTTTGGTCTTGTAGTTACTGAAATCTAATGGTATGGCATGGAAAGTAAGCTAAGAAGTCTTATTCTAAAAATTAGTGATATATTTATTTAATATTTTTCATAGCTGCTGAAATACTGATCTAGGGCATATATACCCATTTAGTTTCACATAAAAATATGGCATGTGTCCATCAGAATTCTACCTCACTGTAAAAGCCAAAAAGCAATTAAGTCTTCAAAATACTGTACAATGAGCACCACATTTTGGCAAAGACTTCTGCATATTCAATTACAGAGGATAGACATTTAATCCATTACTCTTGTGGAAGGACTCTTCTCAATTCAAGAAATATTCAATTTATCTTTTTTTCTATTACTCCTAGTCTGTCTCTGCATATGGTTTATATCTGCCCATGTGTATTTTAGGTTTTACTATTGTATTATTATAAATATATTGCATATAAAGTAAAAATTTAGAGCAATTTTGTTTTTGTGAAGTACTTCGTGTGTATATCTGGAAACAAATCATGGAGAAAGGTTGAGTGGTTTTGGTCCACATAGATTCCAAAGAACTAAAGACTACTGTCAAACATTTAAACTTGCATAAATTCAGTCTGTATAGGATATATAAAACATGAACCCCAGAATTTTTTTCAGTAACATGCAGGATTGACCCATTATTCAGGTTGTGTGGTAGTTCCATGACAAAGCTGCCTTTAAAATTTCTTAAAACTATGCAAATGCAGTTCTTTGGGCTACAATGTTCCATGTTAAGGGACTATAAGAGATTCAAGCTTTTAAACTCGATTTTGTTTTACAAAAATTTAAGTCAAAATTACCAAACCTGGATTGAGAGCACTCTAAAACCTTTCATATTGTTTTTCCTATGTTCAGTTGTCTTGAGATCTTTCCTTTCTGAGCTATAAAGCTTTACCTCCTCTCTGACCCTGACTTGAAAGAAGGATGAAAATTCAGGGAGAGAATGGCTTCACATCAAATCTCTTGACACATACAAAAATCTGCTCCAGATATAATCCTTGGATTCTATCAACACAGGCAGGGGGAAGAGAGGAAGAGAAGAGACTGAGCTAGAAGTCTAGAAACAGTAGGTTTAGTTGCAAGCTGTTCCAACAGACTGACCACCTGTGGGAACAAACCAGCAACAGAGATGAAATGTTATGCAACAGAACAGAAATTTATCTTCTTCGTACGTGTTCATAAGCTCTCTCCCATTGCACAAAGTAAGCAGTATCTAATTTGATAAAGAAATCTTAGAAAACCCCCTACCACTTTCCTGTTTTGACATTTTTAAAATTTCAACACCAAAGCATCTGACTTCTTCCCCAATATCAATAAGTCTACAGAAATGAACAATCTTTTCTGTTTTCAGAAGAGAAACTTGGACACACAAGAATCAAACTCAGAAGTATTCACCCATTTTGGATGCTTGACCTGAAACAGCATGAAATAATTTCTCCTGGTTCAAAGTTCTTGATGCAGTTTCACTCTTTCCACAAATTTCAGCTGTTTAGGTCCCTAGTATTAAACCAGACTGAGGAGTGTGTAACTTACGTACTGTAAGAATCACTTGGTATGGACACAGCATCACACGTAAGTTTTGTAAAAATCCCACAGAATAGAATTCAGTTCTCCAAAGAGGTGCTTTATGGCCTTAATCATTATATGACGTTCCTATTATTCCCACAGTTCTCATACTCATTTGTAGCACACTGCACAGCAAAGGAGGTAGGAGTTTCAGCACTGCACAATCATGACATGCACCCAAGTCCTCCCTGTGCATGGTATTGGACAACATGCAGAAGAATTAGAAAGCAGCATCATAGCTGCAGATGCTCATAACACATATCCTCCAGACTGTTAGGATTTTTTTTTCTGTGTAGTTCTTCTTCTGTATAATACAGAATACTGCTTTAAAGAACAACGAGAAACACATGTTCAGCACAAACACACTATCAAATTACTTGAGATGCTAAGCATAGGAAGTTTGTTTTTAAAAAAGGCCAAAGAAAACCAAATTAGTAGCAGACATTTTGCTGAGCGCCACTTTTATTTTAGGGACACTGTGAAAAAGTTCTTTTCCATCTACAGAAAAGCAACTGCTTTCGTTCATCAAGCTAATTAGCATTAAGTTGAAGTCAGGTTAAATATTTTGCAGTATTAATATGTTAAATATACATATCTTAAATACTTCTTTATACAAAAGCAGTGTCAAGATAAAGATCAGGCATTTCAAATGCAGTTTTAATTCTAACACTGAATTATGCATATGCCTTATGACATAACTGTTTCCTCACTCCCCTCAATTTGGCCAAGACAAAGTAATACAAATAAAAAGGAAAAGCAAAACTTTAATAAGAGCTGGAACGTTAAATGTAGTTCTTTATGTCTCCTGCATAACTGAGAATAGTTATTTGCTTTGAATTTTAATGATGACTGTACTTATAAATTTTTAACCTTATTTTTAATCCAGGCAAGGTAAATACTTCCTTTTCATTTCCTTATTAAACAAGAATCTATTAAGGCTGTGAAGGTGCTCCTGAGTTGTGGATTTGCTATCTTTTCTGACAAAGGCAAGATACTCATTCTAAAAACACAGTGAGTTTTGTGCAGATGTTCACAAAAAAGGGAAATACAGGAAAAAATACACATAATCTGTGCAGTACAGGTAACCATCACCAATGGGCTGGCATAAGACTACAGCTGGCATAGAGCTGATTGCAAATGTTAACTGGTAGTTTCTGGCTGCACCAGAACCTGCCATATACAACCACGTGTGAGCTTTCAGTCACTGTTCAATGACTCACAGCCTGGCTGGCTACAAGGGCTAGAATGTGATTTAAAGAAAAAACATACTGACTTCTTTCAGAAGCTGAAATAGGAAATGGGGAAACAGAAACTAATCAAGGTAAGGAAGAAAAAAAAATTTAGTGATGTAAAGAGTTAACCTAAGCAATATCAGCAACCTCTGAATTAAGAACAGCTTGTTTCCATTCTGCTTTAGTGGTATAGGCATTCAATGTGGTAACTATCATTGTAACATCTGAGCGGACTCTGCAAGTACGGTAGCAAACATTATCAGCTCTCTCAAATAAGAGTCCGCACTTTGACTCCCTCCAGCACCAAAGTTGTTTGCCTTAGGAACTGCAGAAAACGATCCAAGTAGGTTATGGAGACCAGATACTTCTGAACCAGATGTTACTAGAGTTGCAGAAATGAGTTCTACATCTTGTTCTCATTGCAAGCAGGTTTTGGCCCAGAAGATGATCTTTCTTTGATATCTGACTATGCTGTTCAAAGCAAAATCCTTGGCATGTACCTGCTTTTTTAATGATTCAAGAGGCAAAACAAACACATCTGAGGTTATTCACAGGTCTCTACAGCACTGAACATACCAAATCCTCTGCTGTTACTGGTTCTCCTTTCTTGTCATTAGCCACCACCATTTTCCCCAGTCTCTCTTTCATATCTTGAGGGCTGGTGGTAAGCGCCAGGATGGCCATAATTTCACTTGCAACAGCAATATCAAACTGAGCCTGTAAAGTAGAAATAAGAATCATGAATCAAATCACAATCAGCTCAAATACTCACAGGGGGTCATAAGGAATAAACTCAGGAAAGATAAATTTCATAATGGAATTCAAACAAGTTCTAAATGGTAACCTACAGCTTTTGAGATTACTCAGACTAGAGTAACTTGCGCATACAGACTGGAGAATGAGATGCTGGAAAGCAGTCTAACAGAAAGGGACCTGGGGATCCTGGTCAATGGCAAGCTAAATATGAATATGAGTCAGCAGTGCCCTGGCAGCCAGGAAGGCCAATTGTGTCCTGGGGGGCATCAGGCAAAGCATCACCAGTCAGTCAAGGGAGAGGATCGTCCTGCTCTGCTCTGCACTGGAGTGACCTCACCTTGAATACTGTGTGCAGGTTTTGGGCACCACAGTATAAGAGGGTTTTTTTGTTTTGTTTTAATTGTTTTTTTTTCCTGTAATGATCTCCAAAAGGTTTTTACTCTGGTTTCAAAAACATTCTTGTTATGTTTGATCTTTTTTTTCTACACAAACTCAAAATTTGGAGTCTATGCTGCTTGTCTTGTGCTTGAACTATGAAAATGTAAAATATATCTTTGCTTCATTCTTTTTTACTCAGTGAACAAATACAGAAGTTAAAAAATGTGAAGAACTGTATGTGGCATCAGCTCTATTGCTCTTATAGAAATACATTCAGCCTGTGCAGCATTTCAGTACTTAGGTTTTAAGCAATAGTATTTATTTTTCTTTAAGAACTTACAGTATACATAAGTAATATTTGTACTAATTTATTATTAGTCAAGCTCAGGTCACATGCTGTCAGAACATAAACAGAGAAGAAAGGAAAAGTCACTAAAGTATTACGTGATAGGAAGGCAATGCTGGCAGAGATCAAGAACTGCAATTTCTTCAGCAATCTTTCCATCTCTAACAATTAAAGTCTACACAAAAGTTTAGTCACTGACATCCTACTGCTATCTATGTAAGAAAAAAACCCCAGGACTGTTTCTGTCAGACCTCTACCATATGCATCCCCTACATGTGTCTGACTATTACCAGAGGAATCTGTTTAAATTGAGGGCTTTGCCTGTTTCTAAGAATTGTTCAACATATACCCACCACTCCTATCCACTTGCTTTAAGAGCTTCTGCCCTTTTCTAACATATGTTCTCTCCTTTAGATTTTGTCTGGACAGCCCAGAGCATCCCTATTCAGGCTGACCGATATGTGCCCGCACGTTTAGTCAAAACTTCTGAAGACACATGATCACTTTTCTGTATTGGGCACAGGCAGGGTCACAAACATATCACAGAAAAAAAAGTAATTCTGTAACTGAGATTTTAAGTATAAGGATTCAAAGGAAAAGCTGAAGTTACAAATCAGATTTTCTGTATTCTCTGGAAGCAGTTCTATATTCAATGAATGTTGTTAGCATTGTGATGACATGGATACTACTATCTTTTCTGAAGTAGAGAATGTCCTTAGTAAGTCATTGCAGCATATATAAGACAAGAAATAAGCCTGAGAAATCCATGCAACCTGTATGAATACAGTCTATCAGAATGTTTATCAGAGGATCCCCCTAAAAGTTTTTATAATCATTGTTTCTATATAAACCCAAAAGAATGGGAAAAGCAATTTCAGGTAGATGCCCAATATTGACATAAAATTTAATGGGAAAAAACAGGCACAAAACCCAGTGGTAGCAGGTGCTATTTTAACTCTAATAACCTTTATACACCTACGAAGTGCTGACAGTAGCCTTAGCTGTAAAGTCAGTTTCCTATTGATGAAAGGATCCACCCACATGGATTCAATTGCAGGATCAAGGGCATCGGTCATGTAATACTCTTCAGAAACCCCAGCATCCCTGTTCATTAAAATTCAGACTTTTGTGCCTGCTGTGCACTGCCATTTTACACAGGTGTAATTGATTTTAAGAGTGCTGGAACATCACTCCAAATATTTATAAAATGCATCTGTTAACTATGAAGTCCTGTTTTCTCTGGATCTCCGGCTAGGCTCTGAAATGAGTTTTCCTAACTGTTAACTATTTCTTGAGTCACTAAGGCCATGTTAAAATGTGAATGGATATAACATATCCATTCTGAAAGCATTTATTTTAGCCCAAACAGTACAGAAGCAACATTTGACAGCCATATGTCAACTAGAACTCGTTAATAAAATAGCCCACCTTTAACTTAGCAGTACAATTATGGTGGTAAAATGCTGCACAAGAAGGCTGGCAAAACCTGGCTTAAAGCTAATAATTATACTGAGTCACTGAAACTAATCTTAACATATGAAAAGGTCTCAGGTGTTGAAGGAACTCGTACCAAGTATAATATTTTGTAGTCCCAGCCCATTATCAGAGAAGAGTGTTAGCTAATACTGAGTTTCCTGTAAGCTATAGACAAGAAAAATTTCTATTCCATGTGTTCAAAACCAAAACAAGCACTTCTAGTGGAAGCTGTCCCTGCTTATGGCAGAGGGGTTGTAACTAGATGATCTTTAAGGTTCCTTCCAATCCAAACCACTCTAGGATTTTATGATTCCTCTTCAAAGTTCTTCTCTCCAATTTGACTGCTTAGTTGAACCAAAAAAAAACAAAATAGCACCATGTTTTGGTCTCTTTATTCAGGCACAAGGCCTAGAAGAGGTCTGAAATGATAAAGAAAAATTAAAGCTTGGATTTCCAAAATGTGTGAAAGCCTTATCTCTGCCACAAGAGCTATTCACATCAAAACAGTCAAACCCTCATGAATTTCATGATCCAGAATGTTAGATTACAAGATCTTCATTGAATTAGGAGCAACTCCATATCATCACAATGAGATTGTTCCACCTGACCCTGCTATCCCATAATTACTGTTTCAGAAATGGATTTATCTACATGACACCAGAATACTTCTTCAGATGATGCTGGAAAAATCTGGCTTTCAATTTATCAGCAAGTTCTTTAATAAACTTCCAGAAGCTTTTATATAGTAACATAGGTTGGCTTTTTACACCAATGAAAAGTATGCATACTCATTTGCTGAACTATCCCTTAAAGCCCATGAAGTAAAAGCAAGCACATGCTCAAAGTTCTTAGAGTTTAGATTCTAAAGCTGAGATGCATGAGAGGGAAATGAAAACTCTGAATAAAAAGCTAATTTTAAAACTATTTTAAACATTAAATGTAATTTAAATTACATTTATCTTACTTAAATTGTTAGAGAGACTAAAGTAAGAAAAATCACACAAATTACCTTATGAGGGCATAAAGGCATCTCGTATAGGACAATGTTAAATCCCGAACATATGCAATTTTTTCAAGTGCTTTCAACACATTGAGGAATATGCATTGGTTTCTTTTTCTGAAACTTCAGACTCAGTTACTCATTGACATAATCAGTTTCACTGCAAGATTACTATACAACAGCAACAGATGTTAACATTGCAATTCAAAGCATGCTGAAAGAATTGCAGAAACATCTCTCAATCTCTAAAGCAAAGTCTGCTAGGAATGTGATCAATTAACTGCCTTTACATACCTGACGGACAAATCCTTTCTCCGTATTTGCCTGCCCAATTGTTATTTTGCGCAGGAATCTGTCATTTGTATCCACCACTGAAATAAGGGAACAGCAAAAGTAAAACGTGTTAACAAGGACTTGGGGACCTGGGTTTTTCAAGACATACCTCCTGCTATACATGTAAGATTCAGCTACTCAAACTGTGTAACCAGACAGCCATACTCCTGCATGTTGGCACTGGCACTGACTTGGTTTCTCCCTCCTAGTTGATACCATTAGATGACAGGTTGAAACAACTCAAGTACAATTATTTGAACAGTATTTGGAGGTAACAGGTTCTTAATATTCTAACATACAACTTAATATTTTACCAACATAAGAAAAATCTCTCTTAGTAGATACAATGCATCAGACCTACTTCAAATCATGTGCCTCATCACTGACTTATTAAGAATTGATTTTAAGACTGCACGTTGTAGGTTAGACCTGGTCTGTTTCTCTTTTAGAGGATGATTATGTTGTCAGATTGTTTCTTCCAGACAAGTCTCTTTCACACACATCACAGTAACTAACTCCACGTTGAGCTGCACAGCATTCAAAGGAAGATTTTTTTTTTTTTCCAACTGTCAAGATAAACCATCTGCTATTTAATACAACTTCAATATCAGACAATTGCATTTCTAACCTGGAAACACTTTTGGTGTTGCAAGGGCATGTCCAAATCATCTTGCGGAATTGCAAAGTTCACTAACAATCATCGCAAGACAAGTTCTCCACTTCTGCACTTACAACACTCAACTTCAAACCTGCCTTTGTAGCAGTCAAAAGGAAGGACTGAGAATAATCGAAGAGCTCTCATCTGCTGAGAACTGATCAGGATGCTTCCTAGGAAGAAACATTGGGAGGATGTCCTGCATTATATCACTGTCTCTGAAGTGGATTTGACAGATGGACCACTCAGTGAATAAGGAATTGGCTGGATGGTCACATTCAAAGTTGCATTCAATGGTTCAGTGTCCATGTGGAGATCCGCGATGAGCGGTGTTTCTTGAGGTTCATACTGGGACTGGCACTGTTTAACATCTTCGCAGCGACACGGAGAGGGAGATGGAGTGCATGCTCAGCGAGTTAGCCAATGACACCCAGCTGTGCAGTGTGGCTGATGTGCTGGATGGAAAGAAGGAATGCCATCCAGAGGGACCTGGACAGGTTTGAGAGGTTGGCCTTTGCAAGCCTCATGAAATTCAACAAGGCCAAGTGGTTTGGGGCATGTGGTTTGGGGCAACACCGAGCACAAGTACAGGCTGGGTGGAGAACAGATCAAGAGCAGTTTTGAGGAGAAGGGTTTGGTTGATAAGAGCCAGCAACATGCACTTGCAGCCCAGAGAGCCCAGCGTCCTGGGCTGCATCAAAAGCAGCACAGCCAGCAGGTTGAGGGATGTGATTCTTCCCCTTTACTGTGCCCTTGTGAGACCCTACCTGTAGCACTGAGTCCAGCTCTGGGGCCCCCTACATCAGAAGGGTGTGGACCTGCTGGAGCAAGTCCAGAGGAGGGCCATGAAGGTGATCAGAGGGATGGAGCACCTGTGTTACGCAGACAGGTTGAGAGAGAGCTGTTCAGCCTGGAGAAGGCTCCAGGGAGGCCTTGTAGCACTTTCCATTACTTAAAGGGTTCTACAAGAAAACTGGAGAGGGACTTTATACAAGGGCATGTAGTGATCGGACAAGGAGACATGTCAATCCCTACAGAATGCAAAAACAGAGTCTTTCTTTCTTACAGGCTCTGTAGTTCCTAGAAATGTTTCAATTTGCATCAACCCTAAAATAAAGGGGGGAAGATACTCTTAAACAGTTCAACTGTAGCTTGGCATTCAAGTCCATCTCTTAGTAGATGTAGATTTGAGTCATGTTCATTTATAAGCAGAGAATCAAGGACCTTAAGAGAAGTTCTCTGTACTCAAGGTGTGTGCAAATCAGATCCTTCCACTTTTCCTGCTGCTTTTAGAAATTAATAAATTTCTCTGTAGAGAAAAGGATGACATAATTACCCAAAAAGAAGAGGGACTTTGAATCTCAATCTTACTCAACCCCAATCCAGGGTTGCGAGTGAGCTGGAAGAAAAACAAGTTTTAAGGCACTTCCTCCCTTCTTGGGCATTTCTCTTGGGGCTGTTGTAAATACCATACATGCCTTCTTCCCACTAAATGGTATGTAGGCCCCTAATTTCTTCAGGAATTCCATTTAAGGGATGGTGCAACACAGATTTGGCTAACTCAGTTTGGTTTCTATTTATATACAGTCATACTCTAAAATACTAGAGTACTGGCAGAAAACATAGGACAGAGCCTGGGACATGGAAGCTGTAGCTTCGTACCAAGCTGTGGTACCATATGCCACAGTGAAGTCATACGGCAAGCTAATCTCTCAAGCACAGATTTTTTCCTTCTCCTCCTAGGAAGCTCAGTCTCACAAGCAGCCTTAAGTAGACTTAAGTATCTCTCTTGCCTACCCAGGCACTGTTGAGGGCAGGAGCTAGCCTTCCCACCGGCCTGGACAGCCAGTGGGCTGCTTTTTATCTGGTCCTTCCTACTGAAATCATGTAACCTGAACACCCTTCGCGCGAAATTGTAACTGCCCCTGCAACTCCTTCTGGTCACTGGGATATACTTACTTTCTCACTGTGATCATTCATTCTCCAAGAAGATTCCAATAACTGCACTAAGTAGTAATAAAATAAGAAATAACTTGTTTTGCCACAAAAGCAATTTTTTCTTCTCCAAATTTTCTTTCTTTGCTCAAAGTAAACGTTTCACAAAAGTTTAGTTTCAAACAAGTGCTAGGTTTAATGTATCCAATTCTTTATTCTCTAGAGATGTAAACAGAATCCAAATACCAGGGGAAGGATAAGTAAGGGGAAGCTTTCTTTTCAGCATGTTGTACATGTTCAAGTCAGTATAAGGTGACAATGAACTTCAGGCTTATGACACTTCTAAGGAAACAGGTCCTGACTAATTTTCAGAAAATCTGATAGTTTACTCTTCTTCCCTACAAATTTCCTGGTATGTAACAAGCTTCACAGACATATGGACTGTGGAAACAGTCCTAAATGAAACATTTTCCAAGTTATCTAAAACATTCCTAAAGCCAGTATTTTTTTTCTGAAATGTTTAAGGTATATACATCATATAGAGCTTTGTGGAATAGAAATTTCACTAACATTCTTTGAGATGAATTAAATAACTCACTTGAGGTTAACAGCTGTTGAGCAATGTTGCCTCCTCCCAAACTCATGCTGATAAAAATGAGGAGTCATATTACATTAAATATTTATACTACTCCTTCATCCTAATACAGGTCTCTTCCAAACACACTGTGTGACTAATAAAAAACATCTTATGCCACATCCCCAGAATTATTTTGAGAAAAATATCTCAGGTCTGAGATGACATGCACACAAAGGGCACAGTAAAGCATGGCCAAGACTCCTCCCTTCTCGACAGATTCACTTTTTTCTATAAGCATCACAACACATTCCATTTAACAATTGTTTTTGAACTAATAGCTTTAGTGTTCGAGAACTAAGGAGGAAAATAAAATTCACTAGTATTTTGCTCAAAACTTTATGCATAGTTTGCTTCTTTAAAAAAGAAAAAGAAAGATACAGAAGTTGAGGTAAACATTGAAATTTAACCCAGAACTAGAACTGCAAAAAGCAGAGGGAGTTGCCTAAGGGTGGATATTAGTTTGTTTGGCAATCTTACCACATCTTTTAGCTCTTCTTCCTAATGAAGCAAACAACTCAAGATACTTCAAAAAAAAGAAAAACACATAATCCCTTAAGCCAATTTAGTCTCTTGAGCTACCCAGGCTGCTGAGCTGGAGAGGATGAGGGACCAAAATCAAGAAGAGTAAGTACAAATAATCTAAAATGATAACAGACATACCTATGAAAAGAATGGCTAAGATTTGTAAAATGCACAGAAAAGACACTTAGATATGTTTGAAGACATATTACCTAATGTGAGAGAGACCAGGGATGTATTTAAATTTTTAAAGAAATGTGTCTTTCAGAATTTTAGCAAAGTCTCCTGAGTTACTGCAGATATTTGCCGAAGTTTAGAGCAACATGCTACACATGCATTTGTTATGCACCTACTTTTCACACTTGCAAATTGGTTATTCTTACAGTTAGTGAGAAGAAACAGCTCTGATTCAGGTAAAATTAAGCAAAATATGAAATAAGTTATGATTAAATTCAAGCCAAAGTAACGCTTTCTGACTACATACCTCTTTGCCATGTTATGGTAGATGGGTCAATATCAAGGCGTGCAAATTTGCTGATCTCCTCTTCTGTTAAAGTTTCAGGATCAGTCTTGTTTATTCCCAGCTTCTACACACAAAACAAATTAAAGAAGTACAATGAAATGCCTTATTTGCTTCAAATGGTATAGCTGCTCTGGCTCATCAATCCCACACATGTAAGTGAGGAGTTTCAATCTTAATAATCCTCTTTCAAAAAAAAAAATGCAATCCCATCCCAAAAAGATATTTTTACATTTGATTTTTTTTTTTAGATATAAGGAATCATTATACTAGCAATTATTCACAGCAAAATAAGTCAATTACATTGGAAATTATGATGTATGTATTTGAATGTTATAAAGCCAAACTATTTTTTACTTAGTTGCAGCTAATGTGAAGAGAGAAATACATTTCAAATGCAGAGATAACTGGTATGTCATGAGTAACACAAACACTTTCCCTCCTTCCCTAATGTGTTACCTGTAACAGTGTAGATGAGAACAAAATGAAAACACTCCAAAATTCTGATAGAACAATCTGGGAGAGGGACTCTGCTTTAGAGGCATCAAGTAGGCATCATCCACATTTTAGTTTACTGACATTCAACTGAGCAGCACAGAAGCTGTTATGAGAACTTTCTTTTCCTCCCTTCCCAAAACAGAAGCTGGTACTAACTCTATCCTCCTTTCCACCCCCCAATAGCATGTGTGCATGTGACAACTGTCTGTTGCCATTCAATGACTCTGAAACAACATCAGCCAGGACTCATAAGCCAACAACAAATATGGAACTGGACAGAGAAGACTGAAGCTGTCCTTAAGGGTCATATTCAAGGGGTTCATATTCTCTTCCTCCTATGCTAGTGGACTGTTTTGCTCTCTAGGTATTTATCAGAATGGCAGTCTCAAATCCAGATATGTTATTCATACATGAATTGCACAGGAAGCTCTTCTGGAGGCATTCTGGAAGCAAGATGGGATGCAAAGATACACTGTGCACACAAATGTACTTCTACGCCTTGAACAAAGAGCATTGTCAAACTGACATCAATAAAACCCCAGAAGTATACGCTATAATAAACTTTTAAAACCAGAAAATATTACAAAACCAAAGAATGTGAGCTTTCAAACGTGACTCTACCATAATAGGAAAAGTATTTTAAAACCTCTAACCTTAATATTTCATCAGAAAAGACACAGCATTTAAAAACATTACTGGTATACTTCAGGAGAAAAGAATAGCAAAAATGTTAGTTATGAAAATAATATCAGACCCAGATCCTATTACTCCAAGGATGTTGCTTTCAGAAAAAAGTCTGGACTTGATAAATTCATGAGGGTTGATACAAACTCAGTCACATACATCAAATAATTTTAAACAAGTTGCATAAGAGAATCCATTTTATGAAGAGACATAATTGAGGAGAGACTGTATGAACAACTTACTCTTAGACGGGCAAGCTGAATAGGAGAAAATCCTCTCACACCATTAACTACTGGAACCAGCCTATTATACAAAGACTAGAAAAAACACACAAGAAGTTAATGAAAGAAAAGTTATAAAAAGCTAATTCTTTTCAAATTTATTCCACCTAATTTCAGTATGACTTTTCCAATCACAAAAGTTGTGGACTTCTAGTCAGCCATTTAAAAAACAATTCTGAGAAGATGGAAAGCTTCTGAGCAATCTGTATGTCTAAAATCCAATTACCAAAAATTACTGGGTTTCTATGTTTTACCAAAAAAAAAAAAAGTATTAATTTTGAAATTGGGAACCTTTCAAAACTTAACCAAGGCCCAAATCATTGAAACTGTAATCAACATTTGCAAACTGGCCTCAGCGCACACTTGTGTTGTACCAAGTAAAGGGAATATGACAACCCTGCTCAGTTTTAACATTGCAGCCAGAAAGAAGAGGCTCCTTCCTTTACTTTCTCCCTTCCCTTTGAAGACTCAACTTAGCATCTATCTTAAGGTCACGATAGATTTAGCAGAGGGAAAGTTTATTCCTCTCCATAACTCCTTCTTCTTAAGGTACGTCATACCCAACTACACATCAGGAGAGTAATTTGTAATTTTAAATGTAGTCTACAAATTACTGAAAAGTATGATATTATATATAGGGAAAACATCCATAAGAACAGTATTTAGTATAGTCTGAAATAGTTGTCAATATTCTGAGCATAAGATCCTTATCCTAAAGACTACCTTAAGATAGCCATTTGCCAGAAAAATGTATTCTGTAAGGAAAATTTCACAGCAGAACACAGAATGGCTTCAGCAATAATTCCTGTTCACATGGTGAAAATATAAAAAGATAAACAAGTTATTTTGCTTTGAAATGCAGTTTATTGAAAAACCAAGAAGAAAAAATGTCATGTGGATATGAGAAAATAATTCTCACCTTATCAGACTGAGTGCTTTCATGCAAGATTCTAGCATCGACAGCAGCAGCCAGCAAATTATTTGCAGCAGTTATAGCATGAATATCTCCAGTCAAATGAAGATTGAACTAGAAGGTGAAAGCAACAAGATCTTTTTAGAAGAAAACATTTAATTTACGAATCTCAGACAAATCAGCAGCAGAAATCTGCTTGAGGCTGCAGCCCTGATTAGTCACCTCTTAGTGTAGATTAAATATTTCCAGGCTGAAAACACACCAAGTCATATGAAGGACTTGTTCCCACCAGAGTATGTGGTAAACTACCCTAAGTTTAGTCAAACAAAGCCACAAACATCTTCATTCTTTGCTAAATGATTCAAGAATGAGAAGCCAAGGGCTACAGTATAACATCATTAATACTAAATCAGTTTACTGCTGTTAATTACTAATCGACCTGGACCAGAGGTGTAGATTACTGCTGAATCTCCCCCAGAGCACACCACGCATGCTGGCTTTGGGGCTTTTGGTATGTCAGCTTTCTGCTAGCTGCAGAACAGCTTGTAACCTCACAGACATGACACTGAGCAACAAAGTTTTACGGAAAACTCCAAAATCAGCATCTTTGATTAAATTTAAACTTGTGTTACACAGGTACTGTATTTCTATGAATCTGACAGAGGAAGTCAGAAAGTCAGTTTTAATGGCACTTCAGAGCCTACTGTGGAGGGGTAGTGACAGCAATCAACATAAGCCCTTGACTGTGCTCACACTAAAGTACAATAGGGGATTAAAAAAAAAATATCAAAGCTACATTAGGATTCTGCTTGGACCAACTGTTCACATTCAGGGCGGTACTTCACCAGTTCTGGCCATGGAGTGGTTTTCCTAAGCTTTTAAATTCGATTCTCTTGGGGTGAAACTGTTACATATTTCCAAACAAACACTGTGAATACCACAGAATCATTAAGGTTGGAAAAGACCTCCACAATCATCAAGTCTGACTTTCAACTGAATACCATAGTGCCCCTTAAACTGTACCACAAAGTGCAAGTTGAGGTTGTCTCACCTCTTCCATGGGGATCACTTGAGCATATCCACCACCGGCTGCTCCACCTGCACAGGAAAGCATATGGTCTCATCAGATTCCCACTGATTCTGAAAAAAAACCCTCATCTTTAAACAAACAAAGTGAAACAGACAGTGCTGATGACACATTTTCAGTATTTTCATTTCTATCAAAAAAGATAAATGACGTACTCAAATAAACAGGATTTCCTTAACCTTGCTGGCTTTTTCTCAGCAGATAGTAAAAAGGGAATTACAGATCTGAAATGAAAGCCTACACAAGGTGGCTGGCGCAGGCTTTGGCTACATAAGGGCTACCCCTCTGCTCTTGCCCAGTTTTAGGACACAGTCATGCACATGCAGCTGTTGGGTGGAAAGACATAGCAGTCACAAGCAAGAAGAACTGCTTCTGAACAAAATCTTCACACCCTCGCCTGAGTGCTCCTTCCCCCCTGCCTCTCAGGGTACAGGCAAGACATTTGCTGTAGCCCATGCAGAAGTTGAGTGGAGGGACTGAAGCACTCACATGCACCAGTCTCAGCTGAGAAGCATCAAGCAACCAGAAGCCTTCTAGCTGAAATCAAACTCATTAACTAAACTTCAGCAAAGCAAAGTAGATCAGATGGGGAGTGCTTGCCCCCTTAGGCACCAATTTCAGCTCAGAAATGGCAAAAAAAAAAAAAAAGATTGCATTATTTCCTATCAGCATTGAAGACAGGCTTGAAATCTGGCTGGGTCTTACCTGGCCCTCAGGCCTCAGGGTTTCTAGGCAAAAAGGCAGCAGCCCACGATTAGAGGCGACAGCTCAGGGGAACAGAAAGAAGAGGTTCAGACCTAGCCAAACACACGATGCTGACACAGCTCAACCACACGCACAACTGCTGACTTGGTTGTATTGATAGGAAATATCCAGTACGGGCTCTTCCTCAAGGAACAATTAAACAATAACATTTATGGACATATTTAGAGAGTCTCCAAGTAGAGGGGTGGCTGGAAGGGTGCGTACTCACACAAAATTCCTACTGGCTAATACATTCCTCTGCCTTTCATTACGTTTGGGCTTTATGTACGTTACCAATACATGCTGAGCGCATGAACAATGATATGAACCTTGCACAGGAAGTCGCATGCAAGTCACCTTTACCTATTAGTTACATATGTATTAAAGAAATCAAATATACTACCACCCGAGCAATCTACTCAGTGAAGGAATTAGGAAATTAAAAAGGAAGAAATAAAAGAAAAAAAAACCAAAAAAGCAGTATTTCCTTTTAATATGAAAGAGGTCATAGGTTCTGCAAATGTTATGTACCTTTAACTCCAAAAGTAGGTCCTTGAGAAGGTTGTCTCAGACAAGCAAAGGAATTAATTTTAAGGTGTGCAGTAAGTGCCTGAACGAGACCAACTGTGACTGTGCTTTTCCCCTCTCCTAGGGGTGTAGGGGTTATTCTGGCAAAACAAGAAAAAAGATTAATCAAATTCTTTGCTGATGTCAGCCTGACTAAGGATATCTGAACCTAAAGCTTTTGATTTCAATGAAGAATATTTGTACAGCAAATTTCAATAAGATTACTTTATCTTCACAAAAACACTATCACAATGTTAGCCCCTAGCTCAAGCTGAAATGCTAATATACATGTGTCTTCTATTTAAGCAATTTACTATGATAGCAGAAAAAGAAGATTATTTTGGCAAAAGTTCTAAAAAGAACATATTGAATTTAGACATTTTTATTACAGCACAAAAGTCTCACCAGTTTCATTAACAAACCATCCATCACAATACTCTAAGCATGTATTAATACTTTTCTGTAGTAATGCATGAGATCTTTAATTTCCACTGCTCAAACTTTGAATGAAATAATAGAATATTTTAAATTAAATAACCAACACTTTTGTTTGTAGAGCTTAACCACCCCTCTCCAGCTTCCATGTCATCATAACCCTCAACAATGACAGATCAACTGCCTTTCAAATAAAACAGGACACAAAATTCACTATATTCAATTTAACGTGATTTATTTTACACTTGAGTTTCATGATATTTTTGCCGATTTAACGGTGATAAGGGACAATGACAATCACAGTCCACAAAAAAGCTCAAAAGCATCATGCTACAGCTCCCACATCTAGACCAGATTGAATAGAATTTTAGAAAGAAATCCAATCTCAAATCAAAGACTCTAACCTCCACTGTATTCTTGCCCCTAGAGAAGACTCGATTCTTGCCCCTTTAATGAAGGGACAATGACAGCTGATTTTGCTAGTAGAAAACATATCAGCCTTCAGTGAATGAGAGACATCTCAATTTAAGTGATGTTCTTCCTACTTCCAACATAATCACATTTGTTTATGATCCATATTAAAATTCCGGGGAAGTGCTAGGGTTTTTCTCCTCTTTCTGTTTTTCTTCCTTTAAGTATGAACACATATCTCCAAAATGCATTCAAATGATTCATCTGAGGCACAGCATTTCTTTTTCTGACTGGCAAAAGACAAAAGCCCCACCCCAGTCCTTTTTGCACTCACATCACTCTCACAAATCCTACTTTACGGCAAAGCGTAACCACTTGTATCTTTGCTGCCTTTTCTACCTGCAGAGAAGTAAGTACTTTGGTGAAGCTGATGGTAAGAACTAACATTCATTCCCAAGGAAATCAAGCATGCACACATGTCATAGTCAAAGGGGAACCCTTATCCTATGACCGCTTCAAAACTTGAGCTAAAGCATCTAGATCTAATTAGAAACACTTCATTTCCCAATCAGTTATTTTTCCAAGATATTGCTAGCCTCAGATCACAATTCAAATGGCATCAAAGCATTAGTATAATCATAAGATTCAGCGCAGTTCAGTTAAGTTCACAGATTGGCAAAAGCCCATCTTTCTCCCTTAAATGTAAACAGATGAGAAACATTAACTTTTCACAAATCTATCTTTTACAGCATCATCAGATTTTTTTTTTTTTTTTTAATAAATCTTTGTTAGGTATGTCTAGAAAAATTTGGGCAATAGGAGGCAAGCCAAATTAACAGCTTTACACTGTTCTAGCAAAAAAAGTTCCTATTCAGAAAAATAGTGTTTTAACTAAAGTTCCAGTGAAATCAATGGAGTTTAGCACATCCATAAGAGAATCTCTGAGCTTAGACTCTTCACCTTGAACTACTCTCATATGTAATACTCACGTATTACATGGTTTACCTAATTTGGGCATTTGATTTTAGTAATTTTTTTCCACATTTATAATACCTTGTTCATTAACCATCAAACTCTAAAACATTGTCAATAACTTACTATCCAGACTATTTCATCATCCTAGAATGGCATCCTCCTTTGACTTAAAAAGGAATTCACAGAATTTTAGCAAAATACCTGTGTAGAGCCAACAAAAGGTGGGAAAATCGAAGCAGATCTTTTATCTGCTCTCAAAAGTGATTTTGGTCCCTGTCATCTTTTATATGTACTAGGCCTTCTTATTTCTTTCTGATCTACTGCAGTAGCATAGAAGCCTACTTCATTTCTTTTACTTTCAAGTTTGCAGTTCCTAGAAGAATGGATACTTTTAATCTCTACATTGTCAGGACAGGGAGCTCTCAGGGTTTTACTGTTGCCACAATAGCTTCCAGTTTTCCCACCATTTTTGCCATTTCCTTTTTGTCCTAGGATCCTTACTTTTGTACAAACATGCTTTCTTCAGAGCACCACAGCCAGGTTAACTCACTTTTGCTACCAGTTTCACCCTTCTGACTACTGTTCTAACACTGGTTTCCCAAAACCCATTCAAATAATTCTTAGCATAGTTTCTCCTTACCCCTTATTCTCCTACTATCTCATTCATTTTTGTCTATTGTCCTAATCTCATTTACTTGATCCTCTTATTCCAGATTAAAGCCAGATTTATGAGTAATCCTGAAGCATTATGGCACTCAAAGATTTAAGAAAGTAAAAACTATTTAGCTAGAGTTATTTCATCAGTTGCAGCTCAAAACGTGGCAGGTGGTTGACCTGGCATGCACAGCAAGGCATGGACTCTTTACAACTCTTATGAAACAAGCCAAAACAAAGATGCAGCCTTCAGTCCAGTAAAAGAAAGGAAATTGGAACAGACAAATACATAACCAAAATGGCATGTTGGTAGTAGCATGAAGGATAGTATCTATTTGTCATAGAAGATAACACAAAATCAAGTGCAACATTACTAAAATGCTCTTGAACTTGACCGGCCTCTTCTAAAATGACTATAACATGAGCCAGAAAGCCCTGTGAATTTTCTGAGACAGATCTTTTTCCAGAAAGCAAAAAGAGAAACAAACCATTGCTCATTGATTAAACTGACAGGAAGAGATCTTGCCTCTGCTGAATTTCCAGTACATTGATATACTCTGCACCAGCTCTAAACCTCAGCTTTAAATATTAGTTAAAAGAAAAACAAAACAAAAGCCTGAAATTAAAAGAAAATTCTATTCCAACAATTTCCTTTAGAATGTTTATTTAAAACATCTTCCCTTTTGTACCTGGTCTACTTTGATCAGTTTTTATAAATACAATAATCAGTTTAAGGTGCTTTGCGGACATTGAAGTATTTTTGCTGGCTACACTATAGAATCTACAGTCTTCTAGCTTAGGTCACTCACTCACATGGGTATAAAATTACAACTGCCAATGGCTAACTTTAGCTCACTTGTGCAATGTTGTGTTGTAACCTTATGCAAATCCAGGAGAAACCTTCTTTAAAATGCAGTAAATTTTAATGAACTTCAAGAGACTTTTACAGCCATTTGCATTATTCTTCAAATTCCCTTAGTATGTTTTCAGTCAAAACACAGAAACCCCACCATCCTTTTCCTCCTTAAAACTTACTTTGCCACCTACCAAGCAGTAATCAGCTCCTTGGCAAAGTAAGTTTTCCATAACACTGAAAGCCTTCTCTCTTTATGTATACCAAAACAAAGATAAGAGTATGCAGACTTTCTGTTTGTTTGTTATACATCACATTAGCTTACAGCAGAGCTGTTTCTGTGGGAAAGCTACATGAGGTCTCCCAAAGAGAAAATAAACAAACAGGGAGATTCTGTAACTTCCTCACAGCTATGGCAGCCGTTGTGACTCCAGCAAGAACTTTACCGGGTAAGTGACAATTCTCTCTGAATTTCCTACCTTTGACTTACAGGTATCAGCAGCTTCAGAAATTTTAATGAGCTCATAATTTCTGTGATCCACACAGAAACCAGCCCATGAAGGCCACGGGCAACTGAGTTCCCACCTACTTACATATCCCATCCAAGATTACAACTGTCAGAAATATATTTCTGAGCACAGAAGTGTTGCAACCGCTGTCACCTCACTGAGGTGAGATTATGGCAACATTGCAGTGGCATCCTCAGGTGGGACTGGAACTTCTAAATATAAAAGCACAGATATCACTGTGAAACTAAAATGACTGAACCAAGACAGGAACAGACTCCTCAACTACAGACTCCTCAACAGATGAATCCTCAACACAAACTCTTAAAAACCACTGAAGACTCATCCAAGGTAATCCCAGTCAGGAGTTGTGCAATGAGATGATGAATACCTGACAAACTGTCTCAACTTTGACTTTGCTTTAGACTGTCAGACAATTCAGTGCATCAGCAAAGGGCTATTTCCCCCTCTTTTTCTTCCCTGTATTTTTCCTTTATTATATGTTTTCCCTTCTTCTTAGTTTTTAAGCACTTTGTGGCCCAGGAAATACAGTGAACAGAAATACAATCCAATACATACCTATCAGAAGTAAAATGAAATTCCAAATCTGAAAATTGTATCCCCAAAATATTTACCATCATACAGCTTGTACAAGACATTAAGTCAGTATTTATTGTCTTACCTTACTGAAAAGGTAGTTCATCACAGAACAATCTATTACTGCTAGGGGAAAAGTACTGATTTTAAATTTTCCAGCATTCAAAACCTATCACACTTCTTGCTAAAAGCAGCATCATATTTCAAAGTTTTCCCACATTCTCCTCATCTTGCATTTTTGAAGTGAATGAGTTTCCAGAATCATCTGGTAAAAGACACAGCCCTAGAGCATTTAGAAACAAAATGCTGGAATATACATACACATACTCGCTAACAAATTTTAGCTGTAATTTCATATTGTGTTTGCAAATATGCTATCTGCATGCTTGAATGCACGATTAAGTTACCCCGGACACTAAACTTAGCTAGTAGGCCATGCACAAGCTTCATTCATTTGCATGGTCTCAGCTTGCAGTGAGTGGACGCAGTTTGAACTAAAATATCCGGTGACATATTATTTAGCGCAATAAAAGTCTGTATATAGGCAGTTAATGCCCAAGAACCAATTACTGCATGGTAACTCAGGACTCTGTCCCCACAGTGTCCTATAACAAGTCAAACACAATCAGAGACAATAAAAAAGCAAGAATGAAAAAACGTGAAAGGAATGCTCTCCATACAGAACAAAATGAAAGTTATGAAGAAATAAAGTCTTCATTCTATTCCTGTGTGACCTGATCTGTTAACCAAACTGCAATTTTTCAGCATACAAGCTTGTACTGGATGAGGCACTTAAATACATTTGTTTGCATTTAGAAAGAACAAAAGACTTTGCAGTTAGTAGCAACTTTTAAAAAAAGTCATAAATACAGCTATCTTTAGAGATAAAGAGATACATTTTAGTTGCATTTTACTGTTCAGAACAACAAGTTTGGTCTCTAGCATATCAGGAATAAACTAGAAGAGCATTTGCGGCAAATATTTATAATTCCTAGACACTGTGAAACATTTAAACCCAAGTGTGCAATTACAGGCTCAAATGCTGCTGGCTGCATCATGGATGGAGGTTGGAGATTTTGTAGTTTGTTGAATACATACACACACACGTACACTTTACACTCCCTTCACATATGAAAAGTTCCCATCATACATTATAAGTATTTCCACCAGATCAAATAACCTGAAGTATAAGCATATATCTTAAATGTTTCCTCTGAAGCACTGAAAATTTATTCTGAAGACCTATACTGCATCATTCTAAAAGAATTTCTAAGTATCTTTGGTTATTGTGAACAAACACAATAATCCAAATGGCAGGTTTTGGTTAACCTTGCCTTGGCAGGCAGAGAACGAAGGCAACTGAGGATACTATTTCACTCCCCCATTTCCACACTTCAGTAATACTCAATTTTCATTGTACTGAACAACTTCCCCATCAGATAGAGTTCCCTGCTTTTCTTAAAATCATTGTTGTCTGCTACAGTCATTTCAGGAAATGAGAACAGCTGAGAGCATATAAACACACATTACACATACATTTTATGTGTAAAATATTTCAAAGTCAAGCTTTGAACTCTCTCAGAAGAATGTTCCCACTATCGTAACTATCTTGCCCAGCACTCCTCCTGCAGCAGATGTGGCTTTGTACTAACCCCACCAGATTCAATGATTTCAGAAACATTAAAAATAGCAACATATTGCAGCATCGGGTTGTGTAGGCACCCAACTCAGACACTTGTTTGTGAAACACCAGGCAGTATTTGTACATATTATATCAACTTAAGAAGATACAATTTTCTATTTGTTGCCATCTGCTCATCTTGCTAGTCAAAACTTCTGCATTTCTTCCACATGTATCTAGGCTTTCTTCGGTGACAAAAATTGCTTGAGATACCTTCTTTGCAGAAGACAGGGACACAAAGCAGTGTGAAGAAATGTGCATGCAAACTGACACAACTAACAACGTGCTATCTTGCACCTCCAGACATTTTCAAATAACCTCTTATTCTGATAGCCTGGCTCAGCCTGCAGCATGGTGCCCAGTTAGTTGATGCTGTTGACAACATGAGCGTGAAAATACATGGTAGCAACTTTCTTCAAACTCAGCCAAATGCTGAACACGTTTTTGTTTCTCCAATGCAGCAAAAAAACCCCAAACCAAAATAAAACTCTACCAAAGGAAACCAAGCTTAACCAGCATTTACTTCCTTCTCTTAACTACTCTAGAATCCCTCAGGAACATCTTTATATGCTGCACTTCTATCACACAGCTTTGAAGAAAGCTTCATGGCTTGCGTCAGCTTTGTAACATCAGGTCTCTGAGTCTACAATGGCTCCATCTCAGACAGTGCCCGAAATACACTGTGTCCCTGCAAGAAGGTAGTAAACAGTTTGTGAAACACTAGCCAAGGCGAGGAATCAGTAGATCGAGGCAGTTAAGAACAGTCTTCTCCTTCTGGATCAGCCTAAAACTGTATTTTAAACCTCAGTGGTTTTACTTAAAAGGAAGTGACCATATAGATTAACTCAGAATATAAAGAACACACTGCAGTTTAAATATTAATGAAAACCTATATTTGTTCACAAGTAGAAGTTTCCACTTATAAACTGGATGAACAAAAAAATGGTGTCACTGAATGCAAGAAAAACCCAAAGCTCTTCAGAAGTGCATAATTCCTGCTGAGTTTAGCATTTGCTATAATCGTGGGAACAGCAAGCAGGATAAGCCTGCCTGGAGACATGTCTACATTTCAGAGAAAAAAACATGGCTTTTTAAACTTTGTAATCTGTTCTTCAATAAAAAAGTATTTATTGTTAATATCAACAGATTAGCATGTAGCTTCTGTTAACATTTGTTTATAAACAGACACAATACAAGCAGCCTTAAATATCCAAGTTAAACAATTAAAATTCTGATAAAACAGTAAGAAAAACTCCATGCACCAACAGATAACATTTCATAGAATCACAGAACAAACTACCTTTCATAAAATATACTTTACTTCAGCAATAACAGTTTGGAAGAAAAGCTGTGTTACTTCAAAAAAGTTCAAAACCTGCTCACTTTCAGAACAGAACAACATACAGATGAAAACGTTCAGGATTCTTATTTGCCTAGCGTATAAAAAAAGATGTAAGTTGCATGTTTATATTAATATGAGTGGAAAGAGTGGACATTAATGACATTACAGTGCATTCTTACCCAGCAACTAGAACATATTTTCCATCTGGCTGATCCTTTAACCTTTCCAGCAGGGACAAACGTACTTTGGCTTTGGTTTGGCCATAGATCTCAATTTCATCTGTAAGCAATCCTATCTCCTTGGCAAGTACATCAACAGCTTTTGGACTCTGTGCTCGGGAAATCTCAATATCACTGGAAAGGAAAACAAATAGGAGACAGGAGATTTCTCTCAGCTTAGGTGGTCGACGACAGAGCACAAAACAACAGCAAATAATCCAACAATAGAGTTACTGTAATGATTTTTTCAATCCTCTCCCACATTTTATTAACCAAATCTATATATTAGCTAACACCTAATATAACATTGAAAATCACGTGCAGTGTTTGTTAATTGTTACAATTTCACAGAGTTTTCTCGTTTAATCAGACTCCAAATATGACGTAATGCTTTCATATCAAGCTAGAGACGTGTCTGCTGAATGCTCAAGCATGTCCCACTGGAATGGATGTTTCTGGTTTTGTTTTTCTTTCTCTTCTCCTCCCTCACGGCATATTTCAGCACATACAATTTACTGAAAAGTGCATACATTCCTTGGCCAACAGTCACACAAACACATTATCTATACCCCAGCGCCATGCAAGCTCAGCCTCGCTACTCCCCCATGAGGGCACCAAAGGAAACAAGGCATTTGAAGACCAACTCATGCACTTCTAAAACACAGCTAAACTGAGAATGGCCACAAAGCAGGAGTCTAGTAATGG